CAACTGGAACCAGATAATGGCTTATACGGAAACAATCCAGATTGTAATTCTGGAGAACAATTTGGAACTAGGCCCAAAGGGCTATAAAACTATGCATACCTTTTGAGCCAGCAATACCACTACTAGGTCTGTATCCCAAAGAGACTGAAGAAAAAGGAAAAGAACCTATATGTACAAAAATATTTACAGCAGCTCTTTTTACAGTGGAAGGTTTGGAAATTGAGGGAAAGCTTATCAATTGGTGAATGGCTGAACAAGCTGTGGCATGTGATTGTGATAGGGCACCATTGTACTGTGGGAAATGATGAGGGGAGTGGTTTCAGAATGCAAAGTGAAATGAGAAGAATCAAGAAATCATTGTGCACAGTACTAGCAATGTTGTAATGATGATCAACTGGGAAAGACTTGGCTATTCTGACCAATACAATGATCCAAAACAATTCCAAAGGATTCATGATGAAAAAATGCTGTCAATCTCCAGAGAACTGATGAACTCTGATGCAAAGTGAAGTATAATTTTCTCATTTTCTTTATTTTTCTTGTTTTTTAAAAAATATAGCTAATATGGAAATGTTTTGGATGATTTCACATGTATAATTGTTTTCAGTGAGTGGGGGAGGGGTAAGAAGGAATTTAAAATTTAAAAAGAATGTTAAACCTAAATAATAAAATATTAAAAAGAATGGTTGGAGACACAGGAAAAAAAGCCATATGCTATCAGCTAGATAGTTTTTTTTATCAGCTAGATATTAACATCAAAAAGTTTGTTTCTTTTTAAATGAATTTTTATTGTCTTTTGTTTTTGTATCACCTATACTTCCTAATATGGTCTTTTCATCTCCTTCCAGAGAGTCATCCCTTATAACAAAGAGGAAAAGAAGGGAAGTCCATTATTTCTCTTATTTGAGACCAAGTGTAGTCACTTTAATTTCACATATTATTGTATCTGAGAAGAGCTGATGGTCATTAAAGGAGCTCTGCAATTTTCTGAAGAAAATTCAGATCTTTTTCCCATTACATAATTCTAGACCCAACCTATTATTTCAATATCTGTCCCAGATATGTACAAACACAAACTTATACAGATGGATAAGGGACATAAATTGTTGATGCAACTGCATGTCTTAATCTAGGCTGTACAATTTTTCACCCACATTATTTTTCAGTGTGGGTGGTTTAGCCAAACTCTTTAGAATAGTTATAGATTTCATTCAGCACGCTCTGCAATGTTCCTGGCCTTGATGCAACCAGCATGACGCCATCTACAAACCGGTGGAGGACTGTACCTACAGGAAATCTTTTAGTGAAGTTATGTCTCCCTATTTTATGTCTGATGTCTGTTATCAGGTAGTAATTGAACAATCTGTTTTATCTTTCATATAATCTTAAATTATTTTGACATACATTGGGAGACCCTTGTAACCAATATGTTTATACAGTTAAGCAAAATAAATTCACAAATGCTCTACGTCAAAAAATGTGTCTCATTCTGCATATTTAAACTGTTAACCTCTTTGTCCCAGAGTGGGTGGTATTCTTCACTGGTCCTCTGGAATGGTTGATCACTGAGTTGATCAGAGTTCTGACATATTTCAAAATTGCTCATTTTCTACAGTGTTGTTATAATATATAATTAAACTTTTTTTCATAATGAACAAGTACACATGGTGAAATCATGTATTCTCTATTTCAGCAGTAAGTTGTGTAATAACGCAGTTCACTGTGGAACACTATTTGCAAAAGGGTGTCTTTTCTCTACTAATATTCTCATAGAGAATGTGTTCAGTACACACTGAAATTATTTGGATAAAAATTTCATATAGAGAAGAAAATAGTCACATAGGTCGGTCATTTTTAATGATCTCTTGGTTGATTTATCTCAGGATTAGTAAGGCTTTTTTTCTCTGTATGCCTTTACAGCTTCCTTTTTGATATTTTGTCAAGATTAGCTCAGATTTTACAGTTTCTTTTTTCTCCCTCTTCCCCACTCCCTACCCGAACCCTACCAGCACTGCTGACTTCCAAGAATCTTCCTTTCATTTTCCAATTAAGCAATTTGGGCTACCCCTCTTTGGGCATATAATTTTGTTCTTCCCCAGGTTAAATCCTACTTTTAAACACTATTTGTTCCATCATAAGGAAAAAAAAAATAAGCTGTGTGACTCAGAATAGAATCTAACAAATTACAACTTGATTTCTGTTGAAATTTTTTTCCTTGATATTTCACTTTTATTTTTAGAAAAAAAAAGGTGAGGAGATTAAATGAGAAGAGCTATTTCACTGTTTATTTTACCTAGAATCATTCAACAAACAAGCATTTATAAAGTATCTGCTGTGTGCCAAGTACTGTGACATGTGCTGGGAACAAAAAGACAAAAATGAAAAGTCCCTGCCCTCAAAAAACTTACATTTGATCAGGAGAGATATGTATGAAATAAGTCCTATGAAATTTGGGTAGGGGGCATTAGTAGCTTGGAGGATGAAGAAAGGTCTCATCTAGGAAATGGTATTTGAACTGAGATTTGCAGGAAACTTGGGATTCTAAGAGGTGGAGTACATTGAATATACCCTTGACAGAAGAAAACCTGGAAGACAGATGGGTTTCTCAGGAAATATAATGAGTTTTATTTTGGATATTTTGAACTTGAGATGCTTCCAGGGCATCAAAATGTCCAATAGGCAGTTAGTGATGTGGGTACTAGAACTGAGGAGGAGCTAAGGCTAGATACTTATCTTCACAGAGAAAACTGATCCTATGGGAGCTGATCAATGTAAGGCCTAGACTTACAGCTAGGTAAGTCTACATATGTGTGTGTATACACACACACATACATATATATACATATACACACACACACATATATATGAATGTAAGGCTTAGACTTACAGCTAGGTAAGTCTACACACACACACACACACACACACACACACACACACACACACACACA